GAACCGGGCAGTAGAAGAGCCGCGAGCCACGCTTTTGTATCTGTGCTGGTGCCTGCTTGCCTCCCTTCCGTGCCCCTCTGCGGTGTAAGTTAGGAGGCCCCGTGGGTTCGTCAGGAGTGGCGGGCGCGAATGCCTGCCCCCGTGACATCCCGAGGCGCTCTGTCCTTCGGGAAAAACGGATCGCCTCCGGTGTGCTGGCTGTAGCTCGGGACATGTAGTAAAAGCAAGAAGACGAGCACAGTCTGATGGAATGGCCTGGTGTGGAAGGATAGGGACGATGCTGCTGCGTAGTGACACTCGGGAAAGGGGTGCAAATCTCCTTGGGGTGAGCCAGCACGCGGTGGCCGTGGTCTGCAGATTTCCTCACTCATCCCAAAGAGAGCCTTTCCCATGGACTCCGTCTTCTGGACATTGCACACAGTTGTGTGCTCTGCATGGAGGGAGGTCCGACAAGTAGCCCTGCTTCATGCGGAAGCAATTTCAGACGACTTGCTTGTAAAGACATTTTTCACAATAGACATAGCCCACTGTCTCGTTTTGATCCATTCCCTGTATGCATCTTTTGACGTGTGAAAATGTATACAGCCCGAGTGGCAAACCCTTACTATTACGAGCCAGTTGTCCCCTATCCGAGATGTTTCTGTGGCTGGCTGGGTAGTATAATTCTCATAGCTGATTTCCAGAGTGGGTGCAGACATCTTTCATAGCCAGTGAGATTATCATCTTGTTGCTTTTCAGCCGCACTTAGCAATGGTGGGATGAGATGCACGTGTGGATGAAAGTTTACAGGGGAGGGCAGTTCAGACTAGCATCTTCTGGCAATTAGAGTGGAATTCAGTTTCTCTGGCTTGGACATCTAAAGATGGTAGGTTGGATTTAAACACCATCCCCCTAATGATAAGCATCCGAGATGCTTCAGGTGAGACTTCCAGAAGTGCCTATTTCTTTCAGGGCATAAAAGAGGAGCAGTCAGGTGACTGGTTCAATTTCAGACACTGATGTTTTAGATGCCCAAGGTCAGATAAGGTCCACTTCTGATGGTAGAAATTCTAAATTATTTGGTAATATTGAAGATAATTCTAGAGCACCTCCTAAACACTTGTATAATGTGCAGGATATTCGATCTACAGAGAAAACGTGGGGAAGGCTGGAGAGATGTGAAGGTGTGCATACAGGCTCAGGCTTATATATGGTAGACATATAGTTGTAGAACTAGGATTGTTTTATTTGGCAGAGCCAACCCAAACATTGCAAGTGTTAAGGACCCTTGAGGTCAGCATGGGTGATGGAACACTTCAGCGGGGATGGGGCCTGGGCAATCAGCTGTGGGAAACCAAGAGAAGCGAGTGCAGAGGTGCTGGCCAGAGAGCGCCCAAATAAGAGCAGACAGCTATCCCCTGTCTTCATTCATCTTGAAATCCAATGTGCTGGGTTGGGTTTATGGCAGTGCTGTGAGAGTGCTGAAAAGAATTGTGCCATAGAGACTGGCAGAAGCTAACTGCCTGAGAAACGGAGTGCGCATTAGTACCTAGCTAGGATCTGTTCATCCAACCCATCCATCCTGCTGCAGTTGTCTTTCTAGCTTGTGGAAGTCATCCCTACATGTCCCAGTTGCTTGTTTGCAGCACTCATAATAGCTGAGGTATTGGTGATGGTGATAGGCAAGTTGTTGGGAGACTTTTTCCAATTGGCTTGATCTTTGTAGTGACCATTTGTATATGACTACTCTGGTGAAGGGTTTCCACATCTTAAACTGCCAGACAAGTGCTTCACATTGGCAGGTTCACTGACACTCATTGGTCAGACTCCCCAGAAGCACCTCAGGCTGTCATTCAGGAGACACCTCTGGTGCCTTAGACCTTGCTAGAAGAAAAAAATTGAATACAACATCTTTATTTCCTTTCTCCCTGCATTATGGGATCACCATTCCCCTTTCATACCACTGCCCCCCTACTCTCATGTGGATGGCTGTCATTACTGCATATCTCCAGAATGCAGGGAGCAGCATCCTATGAGATCTAGACTAATGGTGCTCTGCAAATTGCTTGTAGGAAGCACCCACTAGCCCCATATTCCCACTGAAGTCTTATGCACAGTTAAATTGCTCTTTCTTCTTGTTCACAGTGCGTAAGCAAGAGATCATTAAGATAACAGAGCAGCTGATAGAAGCCATCAACAATGGAGACTTTGAGGCTTATACGTAAGTACAGATGCCTTCTGACAGGTTGTTTATCTGTGTGCAAGTGATGTTCTGGCTCCTGGGTATGAGGACTTGTCATGCAGTCAGGGATGGTAAAGTTTTATGCTTCTTAGCCTCCATCAATTAGGAGCAGGGATATGGTAAAGCCCTCTAAATGAACATCAAGTAGAAGTCAGATATCAAACAGCAACAGGAGTGACAAAAGGAAAATGCCCTGGCTTTGTAAGAAAAGTAGGGGGGGAGGGCACTGAGGTGGGCAGGAAGAGGATGAAAGAAAAGCCAAAAACCTATAGGCTTGTTTTATGTGAAACGCCAACTAGCACCAACTGCGTGTTGTTGCAGTAGGACTGAGTCCTCCAGGAGCTTAGTCCTTGGAGGAGGGAAATAGTTAGGTGGACACAGGGTGTGAGGCAAGCGCCCGTGCCAGTGCTTAATTGTGTAAATAGCCCTTGGGCTCAAATGCAGATTGTAAGCCTGTGGTGCTTTTCTTTGCAGAAAAATCTGTGATCCTGGCTTGACCTCATTTGAACCTGAAGCACTGGGGAACCTGGTTGAAGGAATGGATTTCCATAAGTTTTACTTTGAGAACTGTGAGTGGGTAGATTTGGTAATGCCAACAGGTTTCTCTCTGATCTTCCTTTATGCCACATTTTGGGGGGAAAATTGACCTTGTTTTTATCGGCTGTCAGAACCAGCAAAAACTTGATTGTGCATGGGTTATGATGCATTCATAAGAGCCAGCATGCTTTCTCTCAAAAGCCTTTTTCAGCCACAGTTTCAATTCTAACCCCCAGATCCCTTCACTGTAGGCATACAGTTTGCCTGGTGCAAATACGTTGTAAGCGTGGACTGCAGGAGCTTTAAAAGTTTGAGGCACCGGATTTCCTACTGATACGGAAATGGACAAAATGAGCATATTTTGATGGAAACAACATGTATGTTTGAGGTAGACATACTGACTGGTCAGACATAAAGATAGTCATGCACAAATCAGTCGTGCCTTTGCTTTGAGTTTTGCCTGGATGGTTTCAGATCTCTAACCCCTAATGAACCCGTTATGTGGATACAAGGGTCACCGTGTCAGCCTAGGGCAGGAAAAAGAGTTGGGAAAAATGCTGTCATTTATACTAGTGGATTTGCCTCCCTTTCTGAATGTCTCCACAGGATGAGATAATTGAAATTTAAATCCTGAGCTGTTCAATTTGTTTTACTTTGGGGGATAGGTCACAGTCCTTAGTATATGCAATTTCTAGTGCTCTAAGTACGCACAGACTTTGTCTCTCTCAAAAACCTGTTCTGGAGTAATTTTTACACTTCTCTGAGGCTTGTTCATATTTAATGCAGGCCTAGCTTAAAGATCTCCTGATTATTGACTCCTTTGTGACAATATTCTGTAATTAAAAGATCTTTTCCTGTAACCGAAAAAACAGCAGCACTGATGTTGAAAAAGTGGCGATTATGCTTTGCAGAAGAGGAGCCAGGGAGAAAAGGGGCCAGGGGATTCTAGGCAATAATAAGTGCATGGTTCCTAAGGAGAAGAACAGGTGGTAGGGGGAAGAATTGCTTGGATTTTGCCTGGAAAATTTCAGGAGCTATTTTTATTGTATCCCAGAATCCAGTGGAAGGTGAGTAGAATACAAAAGAGGTTGGAGGATGCGGGGGCTGTTCCTTCTTAGTAGTAAAATGAAGCTGACTGTTTTGCATGTTCTGCCAGTACTGTCGAAGAACAGCAAGCCAATACACACCACCATCCTGAACCCTCACGTCCACGTCATTGGTGAAGATGCTGCCTGCATCGCATACATCCGCCTGACACAGTACATCGATGGCCAAGGCCGGCCCCGCACCACGCAGTCTGAAGAGACCCGTGTCTGGCACCGCCGAGATGGCAAGTGGCTGAATGTCCACTACCACTGCTCTGGAGCTCCTGCAGCACCTCTCCAGTGAAGATCAAATACGGGTATGGACTCTTAAGGAAGGAGTATATCATTCACACAGCTAAGGCTGCTGTATGTGGGAATTCAGTGTTCAAGGTTGTTTAGCTGGCTATGAAAGAACCCTTTTTAGTTGTCTGTAGGCTAAAAACTTCTGCTGATCAGCTGGTGTTCCTTTCTCTAAGCCCTGTCCTCTGGACTCAGTAGGATTATCCACCACTCCTGACATACTGGAGTCATGTCCCAGACAGTCATTCCCAAGCATAGCTACCCTTGTAGCAGCAGTGCTTCCTCCCAGGTACTGAGCTCTGTGCTCGGACAGAGTGCTAATCCAGGGCAGAGAGGAAGAGCATCTCACGCTGTGCATGGTTTGCTGTTTCCCAGCTGTCAGGGATCTACCTTTACATGCTGGTGATTTCAGAGAACTTTGTTGATGGGAATGTCATATTCTAGAGAGGGTATTGTAAGATCTATACAGAGCAATTGATGTGTCATAAGGGTAAAGATTTATTTATATAAATTTTACTACCAATTTTCTGATTAGCAGAAGCTATTTAGTGTACAATTTTGAGAAAACTCAGAGGAAAAAAAATCTAAACAAATAATAATATCAGAGGATTTAAAATCTCCCTCAATTAGCTTACCACAATTCAGCATTGGAGGAAACTTTGATTATAAAATTTGGCATGAAGAAACAATTGTTGCTTGCTCCTGAAGGGCAGCGGATCCATTTACTTCTGCAGCATTTAGGCATTGTTGTTTATTGCCTTACTGGTTTCTTTTAGTTAGATGTACAAAGTCTTTCTGCCTCCTTTTGTTTTATGCTGAAGTATATGTCACATTTATTCTAAAGATCTAAGTTTTGTAATCTTAGGACCTTTTTACTAAAGATTTCCTATTTAAGAGCAAACAGAAAAAAAATCTACACCTGGGAGACAAGTTTTTTCTAATGTGGTCACCTGAGGATGAACCACTCAAATATAGTTACTGCTTCATTCCTAGCCTTGTGTACTACTTGGGACTAAGCCAAGAGCAGTTTTTATTCTTAGGTGGTGTGAGGGATTCAACCCTACTGAAGGCAATGGAAAGGAACATGAACTATGACAAGCAAACTGCACAGGTCACAGATGGAATTTGAAAAGCAAAAGCCTGTTGGGGGCACCAGAAGCAGGGAAGCTTTCAAGAGAGCTGGACAATCAGCTGGATTTCCAGTGAGTAAGGCAGTGAGGATAAAGCCATTGCAGGGAAACAAAAAAATAACTTACTTGCATCAGTTTTCATCACAGAGATGTTGAGGGAGACTTCTGTCCTGGATTTAGTCCAAAAAAAGATACAGAAGAAATTACTAAATTAAAGATCGGTATGGCTCAGTGGCTATGCCTAGGAGTTCTGAGGAAGCCTAGGAATGGAGAGTCTTAGCTGCTATAGAAAAGGTATGTTTCCTTGACTTGGCTGCTGGAATGTTGCACCTCTTCCAACAGTATGAGCTGGAGGGTTTCTGAAAACTGCAGAGCAGAAGCCCTTTCCAAATGACAAAATGTTGGTTAAAATAATATTTTAAAAGCTTATAAACTAAACTGAAGTTGAAATATTTACCTGCATTTCTGGGTTCTGAAGGAGGTGTAATCACGTGCAGTTATGAGTGGGGTCAGTGTGGGCAGCAGCCATCTGAACCCATTGAATCGTTTCGGAGCCGCTTTGGCCCATGTGCAATGAAGGGTAAGGATGAAGAAGGAATGAGGTGAATAAGAATGCTTAAATAGAAATCAGTGGTTTGTTCTCACCTGGAAGGCAGAGTTCAGTTTTGGTTAAGTCATCTTAAAAGGAAACTGCAGCTGTAAAAGAATTTTGAGGTTAATCAGAGGACAGAATCAGAGTAGGAACCAGGAAGGGGGAAGACTAATAAGAGAGTTTGTGACAAAGATTTGCAAACTAAGAAAAAGGTAGAAAGAAGATTTTGGTTACGCTTTCATGGCAGGACAATGCTAAACAAGCATGAAAAAAACCCCAAACCTAAAATTGATCAAAATAAATCCAGTAATTTGACATAAGAAGATTAGCCAGGAGGAGCCTTTGCTAAAAGCAGTCACTAGGACTACCACTTTGCAAAACTGCAGAAAAGCTCATACATTTGTTTAAATATTAAGAACATTCAGAGACAAAATTACTGAAGACTTAAAAAAAACCCCCAATCTTTCAGTTCAAAGCAAAAGCTAATGGGAAGTGAGGCAGAAACTGTTCCTTAGGACCAGAGCCTTTGATCACCCCTTGGGAAACTTCTTCAACTTCTGGGACATGTCACTATTAGATAGTGGGCCCAGGTCCGCTCCAATCAAGCAAGTAATTCATTTTAGCAAGTAGTTCATTTTCATTGGCACACTCAGCCACCTGGAAGGGAAAGCGAGTGCCTCTTGTCTTCAGGGCTCTCCTCACGAGCCCGAATCTATGTTGTGTTAGGGAGGATTTCTGCCTGCACCGAATAATTAGCCTGTAGAAAACGTGTCTTATGAATTGTGTACAGCTAACGTTTGGCTTTATTTCCTTCCATCTTCCGTCCTGTTCTCCCCTCTCCTTTCTGGGTGGACACTACCTCTTCCTGACTGCAGCAACTTGTGGAGATACTCAGCTGGAGGGCAATATCTTCTTAGCAAGCAGCTCTGGAGTGCCTGAGTGACAGCAACGGTCATGTCTGTTTTGACATTAAAAAAAATAAATACAAATTACAAACAGGCAGCAGCCAAATGCACGAAACCCTGCATGCATCTGATGCTCCGGGCGCTGCCTTTCTGTTGTTTTCCATGGATCCATCGTGTCTGTTTCTGCTGTACGAAGGTGTTTTTAAATCTAAAAAAAAAAAAAAAAGACATGTTGTTTGTATAAAATAATAAAAAACAGGAGTAATGCTAAATAAATGACAGATTATCCAACATGCCCCCTCCCCCAGGGCTAAGAAAATGGCAGCAGCTGGAACATCTTTCAGAAATGAAGTGAGGGGGAAAGCAAAAGTGAAGGAGAGAGAAAGAGAGAGGGAGAGCAAAAAAGGAGGCGGCTTGAGCAGCGGATGGCTGAACTGTGCTCCGCAAAGCCATGGTGGAAGCTAACATTGCATTCAGGCTGTGCTGCGACTTCAGTCGGTGAGAGGTGGCGAGGAGACCCCAGAGGAGCCAGTGTGAAGACTGGGGTCCAAGAGAGAGGAGGCGCTTCTCTTCCTGTTGCCTGGCAGACTGACTTCAGCCTGAGTTTCTTCTTCGATTTCTGCACAGCAAGAACGCTATGGAAAGCTGGTTGCTCAGCTGCTGGATCCCAAAACAGACTTTTTTTTTTTTTTTTTTTAAAAAAGAAAAAACCAAAATGGGATGTTGATTTAAAACTAAAGGTGGAAGTAGGGTTTAAAAAAATGGGTTTAAGTGAGTATAACTTAAATAGAAGCTTGCTCTTCAGAGATACTGGTTTTACAAACAGCCACTACCTGGCCAAACATGGAGGTTTGAAGCCAGATTATTTAATTTAACAAAACAAAAAAAGCATTGCATTAAGAGCAGAGATTTTAGAGGAAGAGGGTACATGTATGGAACTTTATATTTTTTTTTTTTTTCCTTTCTAGTAGCATAGTTGGGATCCACAGTGCTGCAGAACACGTGTTCCTTAGGAAGCAGACAAAAAACTTAGTGTTATGTTCTTCATGAAGACTTGCACATACACTCCTATATGAGGCATAAATAGCGTGTGTTTTTTATACTGAAATATATGCACCCATAGAATTAAAGGGGTTACCTGGCCTCCTGTTTGATTTGTTTGGTCTCCGAGTAAAATAGCAGTGGGAGCCAGCAGCCCCAGCCAGGTGCTTTTCCCTACCACTAACCCATCTGATGTTTGTAAGTGTCATGTTTCCTAGTGTTTATTTGGGTAATTTTTCTATTTTTTACAGTGATGTTGTAACACAGAAAACTTACCAGATCAGAACCTCAGCAACCATAGCTGAAGGACTGCAGGCCACCTCCCTGTGTTGCCTCTGGGTGTTAGAGGATACCTCATGAAGCAGAGGGGAAAGGGAATTAGCACATGTGATCTGATGTTTGTCCTTTGGGCCAATTCATCTTCCTTTCTTTTCTTTGCTGCAGAAGGAGTCCGTTTCCTTTATTCATTGGGTGGGGAATGTGGAAGTGTTTTGTTGACCTTACCAAGGAGGGAGCCTAGTCCCAAGAAGAAAATGGCCTTTCTGGTGGATCCGACAGGATTTGTCTTGACCAAGGGAAGGCATCGCTTGCAGAAGTTGGGATGGGCTTTTACCTGAATTTCTGCCTCCCCCTTATCATTTTTCAGCTCTTTCAAGGGAGTTAAAGTGATTGCATTGACAGCATACTAAGTGTGAGGCAACGTTTTTACAGACTACGGAAGAGAAGAAAGCCAATTTGGAATTTTAATCCTTATTTAACAGAATGCAGAAAATAGAAGCTGTTGCACAAAGTGGAGCTGTCGCTTCGCAACAGATAGCTCTCTGCTCCCTGTGTTAGAGAGGTGCTATCCCACACTAGGATTAGATCAGCTAACCCCTGATGAAGGAAAAGACCATCCATGCTTCCCAGGTTTGAGCAAATACCCTTTTCTTCCTCCCTCCACCACCCTAGGGAGGAGTGTGGGGATTGAACCCATGGGGGGGAAACACTAGATTTTATTATTTTGAAACATTAAGACAGCACTAAGCCAGTGAGTGAAGTGGAAAAGTGAAAAGCCTTGATATTTTATGCAGATTTTTTTTAAAAGCCACAAAGAGAGAGCAAACAGGAGATTACAATTATGCCATTTAAAAAAAGAGAAATACAAAACATTATGCATGCCTTCTTTAGGTCTGATCTTCCTTGTCTCTTTACCTGATGATGATTAATAATTAAAAAGAAAACCCTCTGTATTAAGTACCTGCATCTTTCAGAGAAAATTTAAAAAGAACAGAACTGTTGGGTTTTTTGGTTTTGCACAGTCTTGGAGACAAACTCTCTTTTGGTTTTTTTTTTTTGTTTGTTTTGTTTCCTTTTAAGTTAATGAGAACCTTAGCTTGGTATGGCCATTATCAAACACAGCTGTACACCTTTAGCATTCTTAATGTTCTCTTACGGGGCTAATATAAGCATCTATATAATATATATTATAAATATCACATTTTAAACAGGAAATGGAAGGCATTTGATGCAGAATTTTTGCATGATATAGAAATAATTAAAGTTAGCTAGTGTTTGTTTGTTTGGTCTGAATGTTGGTAGAACCTTCATAGCTTTGTTACAATGAAACCTTGAACTGAAGATATTTAATAAAATAACATTTAAACAGTGCAAAGTTTTGAGTGTCACCTTTTTCTCTTAAACCATGGGACAATCAAATTGGCACTTCTGGGATAAGAATCAATCCGCAAAGCTTTTTTTTTTTTGGTTTCAGTAAATTATGTGATTTTAAAATGTCATGTTTAAAAAAGAAAAAAAGGTAAGTGGTACCATATGTAAAATGAAAAAATGCTAGTGTTAATAAAAACAAAGGGACAACAGAACCTGTTAAAATGAACTTTATGGTGTTTCTCTGACAGACCATGGAATAATAGCGGAATGTTGCTTCTGTTCCCGATAGCCTAACCCTTGGCAAGCCTATGCTGTTGCTTCCTTTCTTGGTCTTTGCTTTCCTCACCAATATTTCAGACTCTGTGGGAGAAGACGTCTTGCCATTAGGCTTGCCTGATGTAAACATGCTGAACTCAAGTTGGGCGGCAGCTCTTTGTGAGGTAGCGTGTTTTGTGGCCTGGATGGGATGCTCCTGCAGAGGCACGGAGCAACCGCTCACCGGTACAAATTTGCCTGGTCTAGCAGCATAAGCGTGATTGCCTAACAGAAGTTAGTTGGATGTAGCCCGTTTTGCTTCTGTGCTGCCTCTTGTTACTAGCATTTCATTTATGCTCCCTTGGGTAGGCTTTGTTCTTCTCAGGCCTTTGCTGCTTTGGCATTTTTCTTTTATTTCCCACCTTGTACTGTTCATGCCACTCTCTTAAGGGCAGGCGTGCTCAGCAGCGAGCCTGCAGCCTGCTGCCCTTGCCTGCTGCCGAGACCCCTTCCCAGCTGGGCCGGGGAGCTGGGCTGTGGCTGGGACTGGGATGCTCGTGTGCTTTGCTGCATCTCCTGCGACCGGTGGCCTTGTAGCAGTAGAGCATGTGTAGGGGCCTGGCACAGTCACGGCTGTGGCTGCACTGGGGATACCCACCTTGGGGTGGTGCTGGCTGCAGCTGAGCCCGAGGGGCCAGCCAGCATTTGTGCCCCCAGTTTGGCAGGCTGGGCTGGCCTCCCTCGCCCCCGGGCTCTTCTCAGGTGCACCTGGGAGGCTTTGCCTTATCACTGAGAGAGAGTTCAGTGTGCTTAATCCCCTTTAACTGCAGCAATTACCTAGTAAATAGGTGTCAGTTGCTGCTGCTTAAAGAGCTGATTGCTCTTGCTGCCTGATGATACAGGAAGAAAATTGTCCTTAGTGTTTAAAGGGAGAAGGTAAGAGTTTTACAGCCTGCTTCCCTGGGACTGCAATCTGTTTGTGGCCAGGAGAGATAGCTCCTGCTATTGCAGTAGCAAAGAGAGGTTCTGCTATCATTTCTGACATCCAAGGCAGCATCACTTGTCAGGTAAAGTCTCTCCTGAAGCAGTTAATCATATCTTAATGATCTTTGAAGAAATGTCGCAGTAAGATCCGATACGTGCTAGGAAGATAGCCATGAAGTTAGTGATGTTTTCCCACGTCCTAAGTAGCTCTTTTAGCCAGGACGAGTGTCATTTAAATGCTTACTGAAAGCAGGATAGTCAGACTAATGCTTATGCCAAGAATATTTGTGTAGCATATATAAGGGGCTTTTCAGAGGGTTCTTGTGTGTGTGTGATTTAAGTACATTTTGAAAAGGTTCCATTTAAGCTGTACCGGATGTGTTTTTACCACTCGCAAGTGCTGTATCATCTTATGTTTTAGCTGACAGCAGGGATTGGGCATGGTCCTTACCTGCAGTGTGATAGATCCAGTGTTGAGCTGTTGAGCAGAGGTGTTCTCAGAAACTTACTTTCTAGTATGCCGTGCCTGGTTAAAATCTGCTCATCATACTGGGTGGCGTTTTGCCATCTTCCTGCCTAAGAGAAGTGTCTGAGCGTGGTTTTCTAAGTTCCCTTCCTCTCTCCCACATGCACACACACGTGTGCTTGGACATATGGGTTGATTACTTTGTGGGAGACCTATGACTGATGGTAGGTTTGATTTGTGCCCAAATCAGATTTCCCTTTAAACTAGGGTTGGTCTGCTCTCACTTGCTCGGCTAGCGGCACAAAGTCTGGCAGGATGCTTTTATGCCATAGGATGTGTGAGAGGTGGGGAGAAGCACAAGCAGAATTAGACCTCAAGTGTTGATATCTTTTTTGGTTTATTATGAAAACCATTACCTTTTACTTATGTGTAACTGATAACGTAGCAAATGGACAGAGCATTTGACTAGCAATCGGGAGATTTGCAATCTGTTTCTGGTTTTGCGATGGCTCTGCATGGTGACTGCAGGCAATCCACTTGTGTGCTCTGTGCTTCAGCTTTCCCGTTTGTCCATGCAGATGATGAGACTGACCCCTGTAGAAACCTCTGCAAGAGACTGATGAACAGCGATGCAGAGCAGCTGGGTGGTGGTGCTGCTACACATCACAGATGGCCTTTTTTTTTTTTTTCCCCCTGAGAATTTGAAAGGTTTGGGACTGCAGACTAATGCACCTGGAATACTTGTTTATTTGGGTTTGGTATAAATCTATTTTAGAGCTGGGAAAGGTGGTCCTTGGGGGCACTTAAAGTGCCTTGAGTGGAAGGTTATGAATTTTCCCCTCGAGATCCTTAGTGCCTGAGAACTCCTCACCTGCAGGGCCCGCCCTGCCAGTAAGGAATAGGAATTTCCTGGTCAGTGTATTTTAAGCAAGCCATTTTTTTCTATGCTTAACAAGTATTAGGAAACAAAAATGCATATGCTTGTGGTTTTTAAGACAACCTGGCCACAGTGAAAGGATGCAAATAAATAAGTCAATAAAATCTCAGTCTGAAAGTTCCTTATGCTGTAGTGGGGTCCTTCAAAGCACAGGTGGATGGGGGGAGAGGGAAAGGTGGTTGTCCCTATCTGTGACAACTGACATAACTTCACCATAATTATCCATGAATGGGTGGGCAGCCTGGCATTTATTCACCAAAACCCTTTTTGTTAATGTATCCTATGACTGCATGTTGGCAGAGTTGGGATGTGGCCAATTCTTGTTGGGACGTTTTGCCATGACTTATTTCTCCATGTTCC